TTGAAGCATCCCAGCAGTGTCAAGTATCCAAGCAAATGTCCATGATTGATGTTCCCTCTCTCGGCAAGGGCCCAGCCGTTGGAATGCAGTGACAGCGACTTTGTTTGATTGACGTATCACTGGACAGATTGCCACACGTTGTTCATTGCCTACCTGGCTGCAGACCCGCGTTTATCAGACTGGGTCTCTAGGTTATGGCGTTGTTACAAGTTTGAAGCGTTCCCGCCTTATGAAGAACTTTATGATGCATAGCTTTATACACGCATCTGGTACGAAGACCGGCTCATCAAGGAAGCTGTTTGCAGCAATCGCTGCAGCCCTCGCTTCTCCGTGCCAGCAGATTTATTTGTTTGGTTTTAGCAGCAGTCTGCTGTGAAATGCGCCCAGATTTATGGTAATCATTTCATCCCCTTGAGAGGGATTGCATGGACATGTTTCTCGGCCCTGAGCCAACTCGCCTGAAGGGCTGACAAGTCGAACATCCAAGACATCAGACCGATCGGCTTTGGGATGTTGGGTTGGCCCGAGCTGCTGAGCCTTGCTAGGGCTCATATTTGAGCCTGTTGCTGCTCAGGTGTTGTGTCAACATGTGCGCATTTGTGCCCCGGTTGAATTTGAGAGTAAGGTTGTGGTGTTGTGACAGAGCCGATCTGATCATCGGGGACAAATGCCGATGAGACTTGACTGGACGACACGCTGTGAAGATAGTGGCTGGCCTGTGAAGGTTCCTACAGTATTCCTACGGCACATTCACCAATCATGGTCTTTCCAATGTTTCCAATGTGAAGGCTGCCATCAAGCTTTGGTCTCTCTATGTCTCACTTGGTTTGTCCTGCGTGCGTTTCGCTCGGTTTGCGACCCGTAGCGCTTTGCAGGCGTCACGGTGGAGAAGCCCGCGGAGGAGTGGGCGCTGGCCTCGGAGCAACTGAACTTCTGCGGGTGCGGTGCAACAGACCCGAGAGGCGGGTGGTGGTTCCGGTGGTTCCCGAAAAGGTTTCCCTTTAAAACCCTATACCCGCAGCCCCAAGAATGACAATTTGGACAGATCCCAAAGTCTCGTTGGAGTTGCATGTTATGCGGATTCACGGCCGGCAAGTTCTGATCCTTTCCGCGAGAGAACAGAACCAAGAGGCATCATGCTGTGTGCAGATCGAATCTTGTCGTAAGGAGGCAGTGCGATAGTTGTCCGGCAAAGGACGACTTACACGTGCCCTGATTGGGAAATAGCTATATTTGTTGGCAAGAAATGCGAGAATCTGTTCACATGGCTGCGCACCGTTCGGGCTCTCCTTGGACCTATGGTCAGCAGGGAAACATAAGGCGATATGCGCTAGGGACCCTGTTGTACAAGTCTCCATTGTTCGTTTGACTTATGGACTTTTTGGGCCCAAAACACAGGTTGGTCTTCAAGCAACCTCTTGAGTTGCCACTAGCATGTCCGCTGTTTTCCAAGTCCTCGCTCAGGTTCTCAGCCTGTGTTTCGCATGCGGCTGTAGGGATCCGGTGAGTTCGTTTGGGGGCGGGTGTGCAGTGCGGGCGAGAACAGCGAAAGTTTCTTGGCCACTTGGCCCTTTGGTGGACAGATTCTGTGCAGATCGCTGCAATGATGGCGCATGTTCTGCCATGCGCTTTGCGTAGGCAGCATCCCAACGTAAAGACACTATGTTGCATCTTCTTGAGCCAACATTTGGAGACATTGGAGATGTACGAGCCTCTGAACAACTCTGGATTAAAGGAGCACTGCCGCCACCGTCAAGCTTCACTCCACAGCTTCATGTCCAGGACTCTCCGTGGGCCGCCAGCAATTCGGCCGAGGTGTTCAAACTGGTGTGGCTGTTTCGGACCTGCAACTTCGCGGCGCGCCGGGGGGATGTCGGCGACACAGATTGGCAGATGAAGCGAGTGTCCCCGCTTAGAGTCGCTTGTTTCCAACTGGGCCATGCCTGGGAATGAAATCAACCAATCGCATCAAAGGGATTGGAAGGTTGAGTGTTGGGCAGAGCGATTTCGGCAACTCCCAGGTGGGCAGTCATGTGGTTGGGCGAAGCCGCATGCAACGCGCGAATTATACTCGGCGATACATGGTGGAACACAGGAAGACAAGCAACAAATTATAAATGCAAATAGCGTGTGGATTCCAACCGTGAGATAGCAGAGGTAATGTGTGCCGGGTTTAAGGCAACACCACGTAACCTGATGAGTGTTTTTTCTTCAATACCATCTCTTTCAGTATTTTGGTCAAGCAACCAACAGATGATTTTAGCCTTTGCAGGGCGCTCTCTAGGTTCAGTTTCCGATTAGGCTGCACGTCGAGTATGTTTGTGACATTGCAGAAATGTTGTTTGTTTGCTTAAAGCCGCTGGGTCAAGCAGTGAGAGTGGGATTGAAGTGCGGCTTCAGCCTTGACTCGGTGCATTTTGATTTAGCTTTCGCATCGTACACCAGCGCGCGCCAATGCACGAGAGCTCAACCTGCCACTGTTCATAGCTGATGGATCCATACGCTGCGCCACTTCTGGGTCGGTTTTGCTCACATGGAATGGATGGCAGAAGAGAGGGCACTTCCTCAAACAAAAGTCCCAGGTCAAAGCTGAAGGGAGAGTGGAAAGCCAGCGCTTTTTGTCCACTTGAACACTTCAAACGTGATGTACTGATGCACTTGCTTGAATGTGAACTGATGTACTTTTGCTACCAAGGTTCATTTCCAATGTTGAATAGTGCACCTTGCACTTTAGCAATCGAGCCGGTTTGTGGCAAGTGCATGGCAGTGACTTGCGAATCCTTTGGCGAACGTTTGGGGAAAAATAAACAACTTGATTGGAGAACCAGTTCTGGTCATCATGGGTTCTAGGATGGGTTGTATGGGTGCTTTCTTGCTTGCATGCAGGTGCCATACGCCGCAGTAGGGGAGTTCCTTGGGCAGCCCAAGGAGGACACGGAACCAAGTACGTTTGTAGTGTCAGGGTTATGCTTATACAATACCCAGTGCTTTTTGCTGGGAGAACAGATAGGGTTCGACGTGGGTTGCCAACTCCGTTGCTTTCGACGAGCTTGCTTTGGAATGTTCAAAGCGATGCTTTTGCGAGAAGAATAATGCAGTAGAAACTCCTGTGACGGTTGCAGGATTTGGTGCGTCAAGTTTACCCTGTCAGCGTGGAGAAATCCATTCACGATGTGCCAAAATTGTTTGCCCTGGCTTCAATAGTCCAGGTGTGTGTGTGTGTGTGTGTGTGTGTGCCGGCGTTACATGTTCGGCCTCCAGCCAGGGATGAGGCAAATCATAAACTGCCCGCGGCATGCTCGTTTGAGTTTACGGAGAGAATATTTTAAGCTTACAGGGGGTCCAAGCAAAGTCAACCAGTTCGCGGCGTGGTTTTGCCCAGAGGACAGCGAGAAGGCAGTCATGACCTTTGCAGGAAGCTCGAATCAGAGCGGGCCGGGCCTAGAAGCGCTGACGAAGCGTCGAAGCGCCCGGTGTTACCCGAGATGGGTTTTGCTGTGCAGATCGCACCTCTAATTGAAAGTTATAAACCCATCCCCCGATCCTGACCCCGTAACTATGCTTTCTGGTGCGAGCCGGTGCTGACCCGTCGCTTATACAAGCTCAATCGTTGTGTTGAAGGCTTGGATGGGAGGCGAATCCAACCGTGTCAGTATCTTGGGTACTCCCTCAGAGAGGGACTCTATATATACACTTACACAGGATTTCTTCGCGCGTGTTGTCCTTTCCCAGGGACCAATTTTCTACCTTTGTGTCGGGTTTTTTGGAGCAACCCAGGTATAGAAAATCCCCAAAGGATGGTGGGTACTCACTAAAATAGGACAACTTCCCGCAACAAACATATGCTGGCTTTCCTTTTGATTTCTCTGCCAGCCCAGGGTTACCCTCAAAAAACACACCCTCTTCCTTCCTGAAACAAAACGCGAGTTTTGCCCCGTCCGAGTCTGGCACCTTCGACTGGGGCGCCGTGGACATCGAGAAAGCCCTGCGAAGCTTCCTGGAGGTTCGGATCGTGAAAATGCTTCTCGGGTGTGTCTTTTGAGGGTTTTGAGATGGTTTGACTGGGAAACGAGAAGCAAGCCAACCGCTTTGTGGTGTTCCCCCGTTTTGAGACAAACCTGCTCCTTTTCAAACCAACTGAAAAGCACACACACAAGGTTGTTGACCCCAACATGCTCTGCGTGGAGATCATACGTTTGACTCTTTGGCAGATTGACATGCCCCCCCAAAAGCCATTTTGAGAGGACAATCTCCTTCGGGGTGTGAATGTTTGGGAGGGTAAATGCCCGGGCGCCATTTTAAAAGCCAACAAGTTTGGACACTCCCAAAACAGATCTTGCAGTTGGTTTTGCTGCACGGGGGAAGGATTCCCCTAAACTGTCCAAACCCAGCCGATGCATCGAAGGAGCGTTCCGAAGAGTGACCTAACAGCGATGCCATGATATCCGGCCAGTCCTTTGTCGCCTGGGTTCGTTGAGCATGAGTTAGGATGATTCGCCGTATTGTCAGCGTGAGCGTGTTGCATGGTCTGCCTTCTGTGTTCAGCCACCGTTTTCACAACAGGCATAGAGTAACAACAACAAAACCCACACAGGGGCCCGTTTTGAATGACCCGGACTTTAACTTCCAGAGGTTTCCCTTTTGGGGACATCAACCAGGCCTGGGTTTACATCCAAAATTGGACTCCTGAACCTTACCAGTCTAGTATTTACAGCCATCGATTTCCCTTTGATTTGTACAGGGTGATTTGGATCACCAGATTTGCCAGGCCTTCTTGCTGCCCAAGGAGGCCCAGCAAATCGACCGCATCCTCCGGGTCTTCGCCCGGCCCTCGGACTCGCGGAATCGGAGCTCAGGGAGAGGCCTGGTGTAAGAACCAAGGCAAGCGCCAGCCTTCAACATGCCCATTTGCGGGCAATTGCGGGCAATAAGCTCAAGAAGGTTTCAGCTGACTTTCTCTCGGCACAGATAAGCGGCCGCATCCGTCCCAAGTCAGCGCCATGAGCCTCTCGGAGGATTCTGAGCCCAAAAGGCCCAAGGCGCCAAAGCCGGTGACATTTCAGCTGGCCCACCTGCAGGCGCAGGGAATCGAGTTATGCACCTGTTGCGACTATCTATGAAGCCCTGCAAAAAGGCGTTAGGCAATCTGTGTGCCACGTGTTTTGCCTTGTTCCTAGAAGCCTCGGATATGAAACACGCGCAGGCTGGCCGAAAAACCTGGCATGATGGTGCCAGCGGTGGAGCTGTGACCTTTCCCTCCTGCTTTGGTGGTGCCGCGAAGCCCGTGCCGAAGAAGGAGCGGGTAGCACGTTCCGCATCTCTTCTGTAAGGTTTGCTTAAGTCTCAGTCTTTCGTAGGGCCAGGCTGGTTGGACAAGCCCTTTGAATCCATCCTGGCCCCAGTTTTATCATTTGATGTGTTCGATCTGTTGCATTGGTATGGGTTCCTTACGCTCTGAGGAGGTGCTGCTGCTTGGCAAGGTGCTATTTGGCCGACAGCGCTTTGCCTTTGAGCTGCAGGAGGTGAACCACTCGCCGGCGGCCGTGAGGAAGATTCTAGACAAGGCCAAGGAGATGCAAAACGCCAGGTTTGGATGCTGGTCAGATGACGAGGGCAGCCAGGCCAAGGAATTGAGCATCTTCGATGTGGTGCGGGCAGACGAGCTAACTGCCAAGCACTCTATCCAGGTGAAGTTCCAGGATATTGAGCGCATAGATGTGGCCGGTTCTGCGGTGACGTTGTCTTTGAGCAAAGCCCCACAGTGCTATGTGAAGCCAGAAGGTGAGATGTCCATTGTGCAAATGGAGGTCGCGAAGGACATCACTGGAGGAGCTCGCAGCATCACATTCACCGCAGGGCCCGGTGAACAGGGTGAACGCCTTTTGCGGCAGAAGTCTGACACCGCGAGCTTCTCCGAGGTTCAGCGTCTGATCTCTGCGTTCTCCCCGCGCATGGACGCTCTCTTCCGCGGCGTTGCGCCCAGGCCAGTGGCCACGCCCGCACGGAAGAGGAAGAACTCGGAGCCCGCTGGCGCGGAGAAGAAGCCGCGCGCAGATCTTACGGTGCTGCTGAAAGACATCGCAGCACCCAAGGGCAGCTGGCTGCGCCAGGCTGTGGAGCGGTTTCAGCTGAAGGGCATGGTGGGCAGTGTCTTGGAGTCCCAATGGAAGGAGTATTTCAGAGAGCGGGTGGTGCTTGAGATGGACAGGCAGACATCGTTGACCTCTGAAGATTCGGAGGAAGAAGAGGAGGAGGAAGTTGTTTGGCCAGACTGCTTGGGCGAGCGGCCAGAATTTGATGGCCTGTGCTACGAGTCTTACCGTGAGAAAGAAGAGGAGCGCGAATTTGCCAGCGAAGTCTTGGAGGGCATCCGCACCTCTGTGGAGGCCACCATAAAATCCAGCGCATTGAAGCTGGACCCAGAAGCTTTCGCCCAAGGCGTGTTCTTGCTTTCCTACGACATTAACAGTGAGGATGTGGACACCCCGCGAACGGTGGAGGCAACTGCTCGGATCTATGCACCCAATGCTACAGGCAACTATTTGGACCTTAGCTACACGAACCACCACCGCGTGCGCATGAGCTTCACCGAGCGATTCTCCCATCTTTACGTCACCCGAAGTGGGCCCAACATAGAGCCCACCGCGCCCCGCTTGAATGGCAAGCAGGACTGTCGGGGCTCAGCTGATGCCACAGAAACATGTTCGCCCGTTGGACGTGAGTAGGCACCTTTTTGTGCATGAGCAAGCCTCCTGATGTCAGTGCACACCTGGACCTTCCTGTATGCTCAAAATGTACACTGTTCCGCTGCGAAATGAATTTGGGGGCAACAGCGCGTAACTTTTGCAAGCAACCTTCATTTGTTCGGGTATTCAGCACAATCTCCCCGAACCTACAGGCGAAAAAGCCCGACCCGCAGGCGACAATTGCCGACCAAGGGGCAAAAACTCCCGACCAATATGATCAAGAAGTCCGCCAGCGTTTTTAGCCCAAAATGCGCCAACAGCGAACAAAAGACGTGTTGTTTTGCCAATGCATAATTTGTTTGACCCCCGAAGGTTCAGGCATCTTATAGGATCTTTATATATTGACCTAGTATACAGCATACATGATAACCACTTGTACGTTGCATACATATATATATATAATATAGATAGATACATATACACAATGCGGCAGTTTACACATTTGCATACACAAGTGTAGTAAATTTGACAACTGTATGCAGCTATGCAGGTTTTTGTTTTCTCTTCTTTTTTTTTTCTGACGCACGGGGAAAATTGCTTTGTTAAGCCGGGGAATCCCGATACATGTGGCCATTTTCCCTGGCAGTACTCATGACACTAATGCAAGGGTACTGACTCCAGCAATGTGCCCAGCATCAGACCACGTGTTGAAGTCCCTTGCAGGGGGAGAAAATCTTCGACTTGGACTACAACGAGCACCGACGGAAGAATCCAGTGAAGAGGTCTTTGGCCTCCAACGCCACGTTGGCGAGTCTGGGGTGCCACCTCTTCGGCGAAATGGGCGCCATGAGCAACCGCAAGATCTTCGGGCTGCTTGTTCGCGCAGTCGGCCTGGGGAAGTTCGGGGAGGTCAACGGCTGGCCCATCGCTATGGCCAGGCAGCTAAAGTGAACAACTGGGACCGTGGCTTTTGGCAATTCGCACTTGAATCAGTCATCAACCCAGTGCAAGAACAGGCTTGGCTTTTAGGTAATGACAATGTTCACAAGGGGTGGGGCTCAGGGCATGAGCGTGGCTGCACAATTGGCTTTGAGCTGACCATGCCAAGGGAGACTACACTCTGGCTACTGTACTTGAAGTGAGTCATGCTAGTTAAATATTGGGATGTTGAGGATGTGTGTGTGTGTGTGTTGCTGGAACCTGAGGATCATGCACCTTCCATAAATTTACAAAGGATGATCCATACTTCCCCTTCTTGTCAACATGTTGCTCTAGAAGTAGAAAGACGAAGTGGACTTGATTGCCGCGTTCTTGCTTTTCTCACATTTTGATACTCTGCTTTTGAAATGCATGTTGCTTTTGACATGCATGTTCCGAGCACGCAAACCGCTTCTTCAATGCCTGCAGGCGGCGCTTCAAATGTGGCAATGGTGAGACAGAGACCGACACAGAGAGTATTCCCGGCGATAAAGATCGAGAGGGAAATGTAGACGACTGCTGCATCATGTGAGCCACTGACAGTATTTCTGTCCCATTGGTCTTTGCTAAATTCGGGGTCACATGCCGGACTAGTGGCGCATCCTTACAAAGCTAGTTTGACTCAGCAAGTTTCAATGCTCATTTTGGGCAACCGAATCTTACTGTCAGTAGCTGACAAATTGTGCGTAGCTGGCGTCTATGCCTTGACGGGGAGCAGCCTCTCCTGCACTGGCCCTCTCGGCACAAGCAGAGAGTGCACGTGAATATTGGGATGTTTGCTTGGGATGGCAGGAAGCACACCCTTGGGGGAAGAGGGTTCGTGCATGCCATTTGGCAAGGGTGGGCTGGCCGTTGGTTGGCCACCCTTGCTCGCAAGTTGCTTTGAAGATCAGGTGAGCCAGGGACAAAAACGCGTGTGATTTGCAGCTTCCTCTCAGAAACTCGAAGCGACGCGAGTTTTTCACAGATGGGCTCAAAGAAAGCTAGCACTCTCCTGCAATCAGACCAGTTTTCGTCAAGCTTGTTTGGTCCAATCAAATTGCGCACATGGTACTGCTTGCTATTCCTTGGTTGAACCATCCAACCAGCAGAAGTCAATGTTTACCATTATCTACTGTAGTAAGGGGTTGACATTGGGCCGTGGCTGGTATGAGCTTTAGCGCATTCGGCCTTCTGCTTCGCCTCGGCGAGCCGCGTATGCAGTTGGACCATTGGCAACGTCGAAGCGAGTAGTGGGATCAAGGCAGCAAGCTTGGTGAGCTGCGTTTCAGAAATCTTTGATGTACCTATTGGGGCATTTGGTTGTTACATGCTTGGATGATTTTCCAACCAATTGCTGGCCCGAAGGCTCATACCTACTACAAGAAGCACGTGGACCATTGCCGCTCACTGGGTGAGGCAATTGCGCTGCGTGAGGGCGAGATTGCTGGCCTTCACTGTGCATCATGTCCGAGTATGAACTTAACAAGCAAACACATCTTCCCACGCGCACCTTCACAGCAACGAACACATGCACGCACGTGCTACCTCTTCTTCTGGTTTTTTTCCGAGGAAAACTGTTGCTGTGAAAGGTGATTGTGTTGCAGCCAGCATACATCTAGGACAAAGTTGCAGTGACCTGGGAGTTGCAGCAAGATTCCCGCTGTGTTGCAATGGTATAAAGCCATTGTTTTCTCGGCAGTTTATCTCAGCACATGATATTCTACCAGCACACTGGCCATATAGAAACTATATTTGTAGAAGTTATCAATATTAGGGAGAAAACACATTATCTTGTGCAGAGCTTGCTTGTTAGTACTACCTCCATGCGAGTGCGTCCCCATCTTATTCAATTGTTGAATCTACTGCTGATGAATCTTCCGCGTCCCTCAGCCACATTTCCAGTACCAAGGGTGTCGCCTTCACCGCCCACTTGAAGGATAAGAAAAGGACCACATTCCGCTGCGCATGGAATTGTTAGGTGTTTTTTTCAGCCCAAGGCACTGACATGACCTGGAGTAGATATGTGCCCTTGACCATGCGTCCGTGGCCTTTTGCCAGGGCGTCGGCTACCTGAAGCACCCTGATGCTGCGTACACCTTCGCTTTCAGCTGCTCGGCACGCCATGAATTATTTTTTCAGAGTACTCTGGTCCTCATTCTGAAACATATAACGATTTATATCTTGAACCAGGCCTAGGCTAAATATGCACCTCACAATGACGAGACTCACGCCTTCATTCTGATTTGTCTGCCGGAAACTGCCTTCGGTAAACCCTCGGTTGTGGCACAGCTTCTTTGTCGGAATGCTTGCACAAAGAGAACTTAGTTATCGGTGTTTGTTTAGCATGTTGTCTGGCATGAGCTCAGGTGTACGGGGAAGTCCCCCGGGGAAGGGCATGCATATAATGCGCAAGGAGTTGCGCTTGAGCCTATGGGATGGTGTAGGCACTGTATGACAGCTACACACAACGGATCTTGGCTAGCGCTTCCCTCCCCTGCTTGCTACACTAAGCAGCGCATATGGAAGATATTGCCTGCAATGCTTTGAATTTAGACCGCTGTATGGGTCTGAAGCGCAGCTCTGAGACATTCAACTGTTGCGCACAGATGCGCACTGGATTGCAGCGTTGGGAATTCTCGCGGAATTCCCACTTCTGTGATACCGATCGGGGACCTCATGTTGTTCAGGCTCGCCCTGTTCATATTTACAGGTTTTCCGGTCATTCCCAAATTGACAGTGTCCCCCGCCTCAGCCTATCTGTCAGCAGGGAGGCAGTTAAAACAACAGTGGTTGAAACATGTTCGCCAGGACCCTGAGGTTTGCCCGCCCCCCAACGTCCAGTTTCACGCGTGTTTTTCCATGTATTTGTCTGCGTCTGAATTCACGTGTTCGCCGTGTCGTCATGCACATTGGTCAGCCATGCGTGCTGATCAAAGTCAAAAGATTCCTAGAAGATACCTTAAAAGTACCATCCATACAAGTAATGCGAAAGTTCTTCAAACTCTCGAGCACGCGGTGCAAACCACATGCCCTGAGCATGGCGGCGGAAGACTGCGCCACAACAGCCTTGTGCTTGGGGTTCATGTTCTGCCCGCTGCGCAGGGAGCACAGACGTCGGGCTTGGTGCTTCAGCTGCGAGACTAGGCCCTCAGCAACCCTACACCTTAACCCTACACCTTAATCCTACCCAAGACCTTAACCCTAAAACCAGAAACCCAAACCTTAACCCTAAAAAAACCTGAACTCTAAGACCATAAACCCTAAACCTAAACCCTAAACCTGAACCCTAAAATCATAAACCCTAAGCCTTAACCCTAAAAATCATTGACCCTAAAACCATAAACCCAAAACCTTAACTCCAAACCTTAACCCTAAAACCATCAACCCTAAACCTTAACCCTAAAAAACAATAACCCCAAACCTTAACCCTAGAACCATAAACCCTAACCTTAACCCTAAAAAACCTGAGCCCTAAAACCATAAACCCTAAACCTCAACCCTAAACCTTAATCCTAAAACCATATATAAACCCTAACCTTAACCCTAAATAACTTGACCCGAAAACCAGAAGCCACACACCTTGAGGCTAAGAAGACTGAATTAACCCTAACCACTGTCTCGTGCATGTTGGCTGGCTACGTGTTGGGGGTGGCGCAACAGTTTCGCTGTCTTGGTGGTCAACTGGCCCCGACTGAAGCTGAGGTGTTATTCTGCTGAACTCAGCCAGGCACTTGGCTTCTGCCCTGGCCATGTGATTGGATCGCGTTGACAAGATGGAAAGGCATGCAGATTGAATGTCATCTAGCGGTAACTGCTGAATTCGTTGTTCAGGGATCCTTCTCTCCAGAAGACCATCAACAATCCAAGAGGAAACCAGATGTTTGAAACGAACAATGGTTGGCAAGAACGGCGAATCAGAGCCTACCAGGGGCCGAGTTTCATGCTGCATGTCAAGTGAACGACCAGACCATGTCTTCCATGGGAACTTCTCAGGCAGGCACCTAACACCTCCATCCATTTGACGCTGACTTGCCGCAGCCCCCTGCTTCCATCCGAGGATCAGCACAACCCAAAGCTGAAGAAGCGAATGGGCCTCAAGGACCGGGCTGTGGCGTTTGTCTACGTGCCGCTGGTTGCCATGAGCTGGCATGGTATGCTCTACCTCCGAAGAGTGCGGGGAATGGTGCCAGGTGGATCGCCAAGCACTGCAAGGCTCTTTCTTGTTGCTCATCTCCTTTTCAAGCCATAAGGCATGGTGGGGCCGGCATGCGTAAACTTGCATTGCAAAGCTGCGGCTTGTCTTCTTCGGCTCTGTGTGCCTTTTCAAGACTGAGAAGGGACTAAAACACAAATGGAAGAGGGGGCCGAAGCGGCAACATCAGGGCCTTCATTGGATGGTCATTTCTGCCGGCCATGAATTGCAAAGCTGCAGCGTTATTGCGGAGCCATGGCGGCGAGGAAGTTGCCATAAGCGACAGAGGTGACATAGTGACACACACACAAATACATGCGTCGGGGAAGAAGCATTTGCGAAGAGGCGCTCTCTGGCCATTTTCACGGCGCTCTGTGTTTGACACCCAACATGGGCATTCATGAATTCTTAGCAGGCCTTGCTTTGAGTCCCAAGCTGCGAATAGAGAGGAGGGAAAGAGAGAGAGAGAGAGAGAGTCGCCACCAGCATGGAGTTTCTTTCGCCTGCAAAACACATTTCGGGCCACAGAGCAGGCCAGCACGATTGAACTGCAGGAAAACGGTTGCTTGGGAGCGTGAAATGCTAATGCTATTTCAAGCAGTGTCAACACGCACCGCTGTCCGCAATGATTCTCTATCCGGCCACAGAGCTGCTTCTGCAGCATGTTTGTACCCGGCCACGCAAGCTAGTGGCCAATCTTTAGCTACAAAAATTTGGGTGTCTCTTCTTCTTAGAAATTGTTTTAAAGGGACACCAAAAGGAAGCCACCCATTTGAGGGGAGCCCTATTTTGAGAAGCGCCCCATATCGCCATCAGGAATATGACATGGAATCGAATCTGTTCAGGCAGTAGGATTTCCCACACCGAGGGTCCTCGCGCCGGGGTCATGGTCGAGCCATGCTATTCTGATGGCAGCCACAGCAAAGCGGCGCCTTCACCTAGCGCAGAGCTTTTCTTTCGTGTGTCTGTAAAACGGCGGTCTCTGTTCTGATAGCTTTGCCACTTTGCCCTTGTTTTCTCCGCTATCAACAAGAAATGAGGGCTCCCCATTTTGAGAGTTCCCGTTTTCGACCAAGCAAGAGGGAGGATTAGACCAGCAACATGGGAGATTTGAAGTTTGGAATTCGGATGCTAGGGTGAACGCACATTTGTTGAATGTTGACCCTCCAAGAAGACCTCAACAAGAGCACTCGATGGTGATCACACCCTGGGGGACATGGTGTGTTTGTCCCACTGTTCTTCGTGAATACAGCTACTCTGTTGCTTTGAAAGCTGCCGAGCTGTTGTCAACATTGTGGTACTGCAAGCACGTGATCATATTGACTGAGTATGGGGAAAAAACTAAAACTTTCCGAATGGGCCTAGTCAACAAATACTCACGAGGAGTACAGGAAGTGGATATGAAGTGGACAGGCTTACTCTGAGCCTCTAAAGATGTGCAAACCGCAAGAATTGCGCAATGGTATGATGTCCATGTGTTTTCCTTTTGCCGTGACCAGCGTTCTATCCATTGCGCCAATGGGATCTTGTTCTGGAGCTATCCTGTTGCCCAGGTGCTCACAACTACTGTCATCCCTGGCGCGTCAAGTGCAGTGGCAGCAGGCAGGTGCATGAGAGCTCACTTGGCAATCCGTGTGACAATAGGTCTATGGTTATGTGTCAAAAATAGGGGTACCCCAAAACGGTTGGGTTTTTCATTTTGGTACCCCTTTTGATTTTGAATCACCCCTGAAAAGGGTACGGTACCCTCAAAAAAGACAGACCCATATTAGTGTGAATGGCATAATAACATGCAAGTTTGGGGTATGCCCAATTTGAGTCAACTTGTCTCTTTGAGAGAGGATACTACATTTTGAGTAGCTGACACATGATTGATAACCATGTGCTATCGGTTTGGCGAGAACGGCAAGGGGGGACAATGCAAATTGCGTAAGCAAGGGAGACGCGCCCCAAGTTTGCAATGGGGAAGAACGCATATGTCCGTAACTCAGATCGGTTTTCAGGTGCAGCTTTCGCCAGCTTCCAAATGGAGAGACTGCAAGAACGCGTAGCCTTGCGAGTGGGAAACTCCAGGGAGACGGTGACGTCGTCGCCGACCTTTTTTGTCCAAACCTTTGTGTTCGAAGTGACGTACCAGAGAAGTCCAAGTCATCCTACGAGAAGCTACCCTAGAGCCAAGTCCCATGGATGATGGCTGATTCCAGCAGAATTTGCACCACCCACTTACCGCTCCACAGCCAGGTGGCATAGGCTGATGTTTGTACACTTTGGTACAAATAGACCCGTACCAACACAAAAAAGGCAAGTGGCTTCCAATGAGAAGAGCGACTTGTCAGTACTTGTCAGGCATCCAGATCGGCTCAGTTTCTGCCAATGCATTCACCAAGCTTTCAAACCCTGAGTCTAGACATTGTGCTTTAGCTGAGGGATCCCTTTTTTGGCATTATATTGTGGGAAAAAGGGAGGCTCATTTTGTAGTTGCCCTATTTTGAGACAAGCCCACATGAAGCGAGCTCCCAGTTCAGGCACTCGAGCTGCTGGCATTGGCGGAGCGGCGCTACGGTGTGCAGCCTTGGCCGAGAGGGATCGGGCCCTGTGGGCTCCAAACTGCCATGAAGTTCAAAAAGCGGGTTCAGGTTCCAAAGGGGAGGTCCTTATGGCTTTTCGGTTCTTACGTTAGTTCGGGAATTAGAGTCCGGTTGTGCACATTTACTCCTTCGCATGTCCCCTCCCTGAGAGGGGCAGAGCCTATTTCGGGTGTTCACTGCTCAATCTGCCCGACTTTGGGCTCATGCCGGGCTCGCAACGAGGGGTACTCCAAATAGTCAGGACATGCTGAAGTGGACAGTCATAGGGTCGCATCGCAAAGGCTTCCCGGTGTGGGAATTCAGAGTGCATCAATGCTTTAGAACATCGTGGAATGATTCACCATTTTTGAGACACGTTGTTCTACTTTGGTTTCGTTGTCGTTCTTGCGACACTGCTACTCTGATGCATCTTCAGTGTAGTGAGTATTTGCCACTGTTTGAATTCACATTTGGCGCATTTGGCCATTGAAATCTGTTGGGGTCAACTCACCGATTCGCAATTCATCGTGTGTGTCTTTCCCAAATCAGTCAAGTGGCGGGAACAGCTCTTGCAAAACAGCTCGCTGCCTTCAGCAGCAAGACGGAGGCAGCATCAGCAGCAACACCAGTGGTAGCAGCATCATCATCATCATCATCTCTATCAGGATTTCGTTCTCGGTCTGAGTCGAAGCTCTTAGGGAATCACCAAATTGTATGTTTCTCCTAAAGTGCAAATTGCAGTTTGTGGGCTTCTTTGCCCTGGTGGTTGAATTGCTGACTGAAGCCGAGTCCGAGATGCAGGCAGAGCTAGTCCCTTGAGATACCAGTACCTCAGTTGTGCAAAGGTGACCTTTTATCCTTTGTGTTTTCCCCCAGCTTCTAAAAATATAGCTTTTCGAGGTGTGGTACACTTCGACCCAAAGCGTTGCCCCCGATTGCGTTTGCGTGAGGCATGCGCACCACACTACTGGGGCCCTGAGCGCGCTACACCGCGCTCACCGCTGGCAGCGCGCGGCGCATTTGCTGTGGCGGGGCGTCTCACTGCGGCTGCAGCTGGAGTGGACGAAGGTTGACGTATGCAGTTCAGTTTGGTTTCTCATGAGGCAAGCGATATGGTTGAGAACGAGTTCTTCTATTTGAGCGTCCCCCAAACATCCTTCTGCATCATCTCGAATTTAATGTGACACGTCATTGTTCAGGGAGAGATTCTGGGAACGACGGAACACAAGGTTGTTTTGACCAACCACGGAATGCAGGTGTAACGAAAACTTGCCAGCAGGTTTGGTAGGCTCAAGTATTCTTGAGAGACGCCTGGGGCCTGGAAGTAGACTGATTGGAAAAGGTTCTTGTCCAAGTCTCAACATGCTAGGCATCTAGGCTCTGGTAATTGCTTTGTTCCACCAATCTTTACAGCTGCACGGCCATATGTCTTTGCTTTTTGCCCTGCCACACAAATACTGGCTCACCGGCCCTTCCAACCACATCATTCACATCTTCTAGGATACCTCAGACAGTGCCAAGCATATACCGCTACATTCCGAGCAGTTAGATTCCAAGCATTCCAATAATTCAACGCATTGTAAGAATTCCAAACCTGATTTCGCTTTCAGATTCCCAAGTCACAGATGTGTCCCATGATCTTGTAGCTGTGGTAGGAACAGAATTGTTCACGTTGCTTTCACCATGTGGGTGTTTGCTGAAACAGGGCACCTCTAAATAGGGTAGTTTCCTTTTGGCCCCTTGAGGTTTAGAGACATCCTTTTGGGTTGCGCTTGGTTTCCCTTTGGTTTTCTTTTGGTTTTCTGTGAGGCCATCCCAAAAGGCTCCCCATGCGCAAGGATGTGGTCAGCCTGAGCTGCCTTGCCTCCGCATACGAGCGCGGCTCCGCCTGGCAAGGGGCGCTGGCGCTGGTGTTCCAGGACGGAGCAACTTTTGCGTGCGAGCAACGAAGTATATAGGTGGCTCGTCTTCTTTGAGGGAAGCCCCCTGTTGGTTGGGATTGAAGCGAAACCAACATGAAAATGAAGCATTGGGGGTCCCTCCAAAAACCTCTCCAATACTTGTCGCATATATGAGTTTGGCACGTTGCAGGTTCTACATGCACAATCAGAACTATGCTTGCTATTACCATAACAAGATCATTGTGTCCGGCCAATGTTGAGCAGTAGGGTTTCGTGGTCATATCCATAGAGCATACTGATGCAGAGTTGTTCTCTCACGAAGCTTGCAGATGTTTCAGTCTCATGAGGAATACTATTGTCACGCTAGTTGATCGCCAGAGGACAAAACGAGCTTTGCTTTTCATCCTGGAACATGTGTTAAAATCGCAACTAGATCACTAGTTCTTCTTCTGTGAAGGTCAAATGTCCTGCAAGTCCTAACTATATATACATAATACATATATGTTTATTTCAATGTTTACTTTTCTAGATATGTTTGCACAGGTTGACATGCACCCCTAGTTGAATCATCACTTTGTCTTTTTTTGATGCCGGTTCCTTGGTCGTTTTTGGTCCTCCTTCGGTCCCCTGATCCTTTGGCCCTTGGTTCCACTAAGTTCTTTGCTTAATCATTGCCCTTCTTGGACCTTCGTTCCCTTGGCTTTAGGTGTTAGTATTCTTGTTTCCCCCACTTGGTCTCGTGGCCCTTTCGTCCAATCTGGCCCTTGCGAAACACCCTATTCACCTGGCCCCTGAGCGAAAGAGTTCTTTTCTTGTTAAACATGTAATTTTTGATACCCTTCCCCACCAGGTGCAGGCGCGCCCCGGGTAGGAGGGTGAAAATATCAAGTCTTAAGTCTGCGGTTGATGCTTTGTGCAGGAGATGGCCTGTGCCCAGTTGCGGCCCAACGCCGTGGCGCTCACTGCGGCGCTTCGGGCTTGTGGCCGAACCAACAAGGTGGGCAAGCTGCAGATGAGGCGCCTCCGAGTTACAAGATGTTTCGGGCATGGAGCCATCACGTGTGCACATCATGGGCCAGTGTTGTCCTAGGGATGGAAGAGATCAAGCGACAACTTGTTTTTCACACCCCAACATGCCCCAAATTGGTTAATCGCTTGGAAAGGAAAAGGAATGAGAGAACTGGTTCTGGTCGCAAGACGTCGCATGCAAGGGCAAACCAAGAATGAAGTCAATGAGCAACACTCTTGACAGTGTGCATTTTCCGCTTCATTGCATTCTGGCCGGTAAAAGATGGAGGGAGAGACAAGGACCAGCAATGTGTTCTCCCTTCATGCCTATCAGGACACATCAATAATTAGTCATCCAATGTTAAATGTGACACCAGGAGCCGTTCAAACAAACCGGTACCAAAGAGAAACATGCCAAGCAGTTGTTGTTCTTCCTGGTTTGCGCTCACATGACCATAGAGGCAGTGTGTTGAGTAGGCATAGTAGGCCATGTTCGACAGATAAACTTTAAAAACATGAGAACGTGCTTTCGAGCCTGGAAACTTGCTGAATTGAGGATGCTCGGGATAGACCTGTTGTATGGGAAAACACTTAAACTACGTGTACCAGGCTTCATCGCCAAGTTTCCCAACTGCCGAGCGACCGAAAACAAGCAGCGGCAGTCAGAGTTGCTTTTGCTGCTGCAGCAATCCATTTTCTATTCTTGGCTGCAGCCTAGTTCGAAGCCTTCGGAGCTTGGTTTCCCGTACAGCCCTCACTGATACTTCCCGCTTTAGATTGAGAAACTATCCCAAACGGATCGAACGTGCTTCCACCTTTGGGGAGGGAATTGTCCATCTCAAAGGCTACCGATTCTCATGAGTAAACCATCCTAGTCTGTCAGCCTTTGTGCTTGGACTCTCACAAAAGCTCCTAGTATGATACAAGGACAAAAGGGCGCTTGCTCGAACATGACGAACATTCCAGTTCAGCTCGGGCTTTACATGCCATCTGCGTTGGTCGAAATTCCCCAGCATGTTTGTCTGGGAGCACAGGCGATTTGTGCGATTTGTGTTCTGCCAGGAGCTGGGAGTTGGATTCCGTGGCTCTCTCATCGCTAGCCGCGGCTTATGAGAAGGCGTCCCAATGGGAGTACCGGCCCCAGAGGCGCTTGGAACATGAAGTCGCTTTTGCGCTCAAATCCCCGTGTGGATGCTCCAAATTTGGATTGCTCCCGCATGTGAATGAGACAAGCATGAGATGGAAAGCAATGGCAGGAAACTGGGTGGCATAAGCCCACTATATTCCGTACCAGAAGGTTTTGTGTACAGACGAAGGACGCAGTGTTGTGGCACGCTTGACGTGCGATAATCAAGAAACTGATTGAATAACATGGAACCGAGCTGCCAATGAGGCATGCCCTGGAATTTGCTAAGCGTCTTGGCCAGAGAAGGGGGGGCCGAAAGGCAGTCGGACAAGTGTCTACTTTAGGTGGAAAGAGGTTGGTCGTACGCGAACTGGCATTGCTGATGTTCTTGAGGTGTGCTTCTCCCATCTTCTCCCACTGCAGGTTTTGTTTGCGAATTTTTGGTAAGTGCGTTGGAACCGGTACAAGCTCGTTATGTAAGTCTGAAGAGGCTGCTTTGCATTGATACTGCCATTGTCCAATGGAATTATGCCGACATTCGGATGGCATGAGTTACAAAGTGTTGAGATCTCATGGGCTAGGTTTCCCCAGACAGTCCCAGAATAGGGCCTCAGCAGCATTCGCCGACACCATTTAGAAGAGCTAAGCCTCGATGCCTCAATTTTGTCAAGCTGGTCATATTTCATTGCAATGAGGGTAGCATTATCATGCCGTGTTTTCTCAAATGCCGTGATCCAAGCTGTGATCATTTCCTCATGTCTCCCAAGCAAACCCCTGGCACTGGGCTGACATTTGTTGGTAACTGATGGAAGAGGGATGTCGGCTTTCAGAAAGGCAAGGAGCCTGTGTGAGTGAGTCTTCTGAAAAGGGTTTTTGCTGAAGGATTCGGCTCTGCTGGTGGACAGACTTGTGCTTTATGCCTTTTGAACGGGACCAAAACGGTTGGATATGCAGCCCGGATTCTCTACACTCGTTGATTTCCTTAGTGCAGATTGATCACTGCAGTCTGACGGCCGTGGGTGGCGCAAGTCTACCAAGGATTGGCATTGATGCCAAGCTGCCGCTGTATGGAGTGGCCCCTTGTCTCTGATTCAAGGCCCCCCAAATTGACCCCAAATCCTGCTTGTGATAAAGATTCTGCGACATGAGAGTATCTTGCGTTGAGCTTTTTGGCCTTCATCCAGCTATTTTCCAGGGAGCGGAGCTTCGTGGCCCTTTCGTGTATATGCTGGATCGTTCAAAATCAGTCCTGAATCCTTATGCCGGATGCTCGTGGTTTCCTGTGTTGTGGTGCAGTCCCACGATTGGGGGTGCCTCCCATTTTGAAGAACCCAGAAGACAGATTGCCATTTTGAACACCAGCAGTGCTGCTTGCATTTGCCATGAGGGCTCCTCCTTGTATGGACATGTGCGATGATTTCAGCACGAAGATACCATGACAACACACACCCGCGCATGTGTCGGATGGCATCCCCAAACCCTGTTGTCCTGTGTGGTTTCCTTCTCAGCCCCTTTACTTGTGATCATGCAATGCAAAGCATAGGAAGGCTTGAAGGCGTGTGAAGTTTCTCTCCTTGTGGCCAGACGAATGCCAGGACTTTCCATGACCTGAAGGATTCTGCAGAGCTGTTGGCCATTCTTCGAAGTATCAATCCCTGCCAACTCATGTTGCACGAAGAAGGTGATTCCTAGGAGTTCTTGAAGGCCAACTACCCGAATTACGCAGATCTTAGAAAAGGTCCAGGTGGTTGGGAAGAACCGGCCCCGACTCGGCCAAGAGCGTAGAAATTATGAACAGCCTCGAAGCAAGACATGTTCTTCCTCCTTAGTTTTGTGCTATGCGTGCGCCAAGCCTTGAGCCAAGCAGCAGGAGCAGATTGTGAGCGGTCCAGTTGGAATCAACAGCGAACAAAACAAGAACACAGGAACACATGATTCACTGCATGACCTTTCAATAGGATGGCCATGCTACGAGATCTGTATATTGTATTTGTCTCGTGGCCTAAAAGTCAGTCATCCAAATATGTGTGAGGATGCCGTGGCTACTACACAATTGCCATAGCTGTTTTGTTTCGTCATCGGCTTGCGGTGGAGTACGCAATACTTTCCAAATCATCCCCTTAGAGCGCTTCTGGCTGATCACGAAAGCTAGCTTTAGCTAGCTGAAGTTTCTCCTTGCGTAAGCAAGGTAAGGGGCTCAACTGCCGAAAGATTGTTTTTTTCAATTATTTGAGCCGAAAAGATTGAAACAAATCAATTATTTAGACCCCCCCCCCCCCTTCCCCCCCCCCGTCTCAGGCTCGACCCCTCCCCCCGGGCAGTGGCTCAGTGTTTCAGCAGTAACGGTTTGCCCGTTTTGGACTTGGTGCTACGAACTTTTACATGTTCCACCGATTCAGCTTGTTCATTTGAGACCTCAGTCTTCTCAGTAAACCACCTCGCAAGAATCTTTGCACACGCAGCATGCAGAACCCAGAGGTGCTTTAAGACAGCTTCTGACGCCTCTCGTTGTTTTCATTTTTCAAGGTTTGCCACGCCACCATGTGCATTTGCGTGTCGCATCCTACGAATCTTGCCGGGCCTCTCGTTGTACACAAGCTACCTATGAATCCACCCTGTCACCGTTCCATCTCATGCAACAACTGCTAGCTTTCGTTCACCCGCTCCTCAAGTACTGTCATCGCAGACTTTCGCAGACTTGTGGTGCTTCGTGCTTTGCGTGTGGCCCTGAGCCACTCAGCGGGAGCAGGTTGCGCTGGTTGCGATGTGGGAATCAGCACGAACACAAGTGAAGACCTCCCAACACCCCCCAAACTTCATTTACATCATTGTACTGGTAGTTTGGTGACAAGTCCCCGGAGATTTCAATTTCCCAAACCCATCGGAGCCCTAGAGCCCTAGGTCGCTGGCGCCTGTGAGAAGGCAAGCCTCTGGCGGGAAGCCTTGGCACTTCTCCCGCAAATGGCCACCCGCCTGGGCCTTGGGATTTGCCGCTCAAAGTGGCTTTCGGACCCGACAAAAGCATCTAAAGCGAAACACAGGGGGATCTTCCGGTGGCGGATTGGTTGTATTTTCCTGTTTGACATTTGTTTGCCGTCACATTACCGGCAAGCCACTGCCCCCCGCCAGTTGGAGGAAATCGTCAAGCGAATTCTGAGGATTTGAGTCGGCTGTTGAACTGCCTCTTCTTCGAAGATGACTGCACAAAAGACCAACAAGAAGCTAACATTGTTGCTTTTGTGCTGAAAGCAGGTGCTTGGCATTTAAACTTTGCGGTCGTGGCGTCTCACCAGCTTTCGCTGGTTGCTTTGAGCAGCTTTGAATGCCTGATTAGAACCTTAGTTTGGACATCAAATCAGCAAGTGTCATGACTTTAATAATAGCACTGCAAACCATGGAAGCCGGTGGCAACAAAGAAAGATCCATCCATCTATTTGTCAAATATAATATAATAGAATCAATTCTAATCTACGTAGTCCAGTCTATCTATATATCTATCTATCTATCTATCTTATCGTATCTTATCGTATCTTATCTTATCTTGTCTTGTCTTGTCTTGTCTTGTCTTATCTTATCCTATCCTATCTATCTATCTAGCCTGCCTGCCTGCCTGCCTGCCTGCCTGCCTGCCTGCCTGTCTGTTTGTCTGTCTGTCTGTCTGTCTGTCTGTCTGTCTGTCTGTCTGTCTGTCTGTCTTTCTATCTCTCTAGACCTGTCACTCTATCTCTCTATCTCTATATCTCTATATTCATCAATGTATAATACGCGTGTATGTGTATATATATATATATACGTATACATATATATATATATATAGAGAGAGAGAGAGAGAGAGAGCCCGAGGCCTGTTGCAGCCCAATGAGTTGGTGGTAAATAGCCTCCTCAGCAACCTGCAGCAGAGCGCCCAGTGGCAGCGGGCGTTGGCGCTCTTCAAGGACCTGCCAGGCGGGCGCCTTTGGGGACCTGGGCTATAGAAGGACCCCAACAGAAGGTGGCTGATGCTGCAGATACACTGGCTCATACCTCGGCGAAAAGAAGCTTGTTCGAACAATGGGTGGTTTAAGCATGTCTAAGCAAAGGTGATGTTTGGAGTACCATGCAACGCCCAACCTGGAGGGTCATAGTCCATCTTATGGTCTTGTCAATGTGTCCAATGTCTATCACAAATCCTGGGCTTTCCTGTGCAGCCAACAATCAGCATGGCAGTGCGGAAGTACCACGGGAGTCTCAGAGAGTACTGGAAATCCAATTCGGACACCCCAACAAGGGGATTAGGAGATTTGGTCGAAACCCACGGTTTGCCTTGTTTAATTTGCTGATAATTGGCCTCGTTCATGTTTACTTGCAGGCTTATCCAACGCTTCTTCATGTGACGTTCATGTTTCATGTTTAAAAAGTAGCTCTTGAGCACCGGACATTCCTCAGGCGTGGACTCTGTTGGGCTGCACGCCATCTTCAACGCCTGTGAGGAGGGAGGCAGGTCTTGTTTCTATTGAGCCTGGAAGCCACAGGTTCGGTCAAACTAGCAGTCGTGTATGGTCCAGGATGGCCCTGTTGCCTGGGTGTGTGCCAATCAGGGGGACCCTAAAAAGAAACACATCCTGAAAGGAGCACCTCACTGCCTCACTTGCCTTATTTAAGGGCTGCCGCCCAGTGCCGCCGACCCCAAACCAGTTTGGGAATGGCTGAAATGAACGGGGCCGCTTGATGATGATGATGATGAACTGACATGATAATCATCATGACGCATCCTTAGCATCACCAGCAGTCATCGTGATAATGCGCTTTGATTGGCACGCTTCCTTAGATCCTGCGCCCATTCTGGAGCGATCGTTTTCTTTCCTTGGCTTGGTGCATTTTTGTAATAATCTGATAAGAAAATGCGCCGCTGTAAGTGCCTACAATTCTGCTGCTGCTGGGAGCATGTGCCGTGACGTTGCGTTTGCAGTAGAGGCTCATCGCCGGTCACCCCGCAAGCCAACCAGTTTTCTCGCCGCAAGTCGGGGCCGCGATGCTGTTGTAGCCAGGGTGCGGTGCATTTTTGCTTTGCTTTCGCGTGAAAATGCACCGCCTTGATGATGATGATGATGATGATGATGATGATGCTGAGCTGACATGATAATCATCATGACGCATCCTCAGCATCACCAGCAGGCATCATGATAATCGTGTGCTGATGATCATGATGATGATGATGATGAACTGACATGATAATCATCATGACGCATCCTCAGCATCACCAGCAGTCATCATGATAATCATGTCTACGCATCCTCTGCATCTCCAACCAGGTCACAACGATGATGATGTGGTGACGATGAGCATGTCATCATCACCATGATGGTGGTCAGTATCGTCATTATCATCATCATCGTCATCATCATCATCGTCATCATCGTCATCATCATCGTCATCATCATCGTCATCATCATGGATGATAACCATTGACCATCATCGTGCATCCTCTGCATCGCCAGCAGTCATAATGATAATCATGTCTACGCATCCTCTACATCTCCAAGCAGGTCACAACGATGATGATGTGATGACTGTGATGATGCTGAGCATGTCATCATCACCATGATGGTGGTCATCATGATCATCATCAGCATCATCCTCACCGTTGTCATCATGGACGATAACCATCATCGTGCATCCTCTGCATCCCAACAGTCATGATGAGAATCATGTCTACGCACCCTCTGCATCTCCAATGTGATAACCATCATCGTGCATCCTCTGCATCACCAGCAGTCATGATGATAATCATGTCTACGCATCCTCTATATCTCCAAGCAGGTCACAACGATGATGATGTGATGACGATGAGCATGTCATCATCACCATGATGGTGGTCATCATCGGCATCATCATCATCGTCATCATCATCAGCATCATCATCATCATCGTCATCGTCATCATCACCGTTGTCAGCATGGACGATAACCATCATCGTGCATCTTCTGCATCACCAACAGTCATGATGATAATCATGACTACGCACCCTCTGCATCTCCAATCGGCTCTAACGTCACCCTTGAAACGTATATAAAAAAGACAAGGACGACAACACCAGCATCTCCAATCGGGTCACAACGATGATGATGTGATGATGATGATCGTCCTCGTCATCATCACCGTTATCATCATCGATGATAACTATCATCGTGCATCCTCTGCATCACCAGCAGTCATGATGATAATCATGTCTACGCACCCTCTGCATCTCCAATCAGGTCACAACGATGATGCTGTGATGATGCTGAGCATGTCATCATCACCATGATGGTGGTCATCACCATCATCATCAGCATCATCCTCACCGTTGTCATCATGGGCGATATCCATCATCGTGCATCCTCTGCATCCCAACAGTCATGATGAGAATCATGTCTACGCACCCTCTGCATCTCCAATGTGATAACCATCATCGTGCATCCTCTGCGTCACCAGCAGTCATGATGATAATCATGTCTACGCATCCTCTACATCTCCAAGCAGGTCACAACGATGATGATGTGATGACGATGAGCATGTCATCATCACCATGATGGTGGTCATCATCGGCATCATCATCATCGTCATCATCATCAGCATCATCATCATCATCGTCATCGTCATCATCACTGTTGTCAGCATGGACGATAACCATCATCGTGCATCTTCTGCATCACCAACAGTCATGATGATAATCATGACTACGCACCCTCTGCATCTCCAATCGGCTCTAACGTCACCCTTGAAACGTATATAAAAAAAGATAGAGACGACAACATCATGTCTACGCATCCTGTGCATCTCCAATCAGGTCACAACGATGATGATGTGATGATGATGATCGTCCTTGTCATCATCACCGTTATCATCATCGATGATAACTATCATCGTGCATCCTCTGCATCACCAGCAGTCATGATGATAATCATGTCTACGCACCCTCTGCATCTCCAATCAGGTCACAACGATGATGCTGTGATGATGCTGAGCATGTCATCATCACCATGATGGTGGTCATCATCATCATCATCATCATCAGCATCATCCTCGTTGTCATCATGAGCGATATCCATCATCGTGCATCCTCTGCATCCCAACAGTCATGATGAGAATCATGTCTACGCACCCTCTGCATCTCCAATGTGATAACCATCATCGTGCATCCTCTGCATCACCAGAACGATGATGATGTGATGACGATGAGCATGTCATCATCACCATGATGGTGGTCATCATCGGCATCATCATCATCGTCATCATCATCAGCATCATAATCATCATCGTCATCGTCATCATCACCGTTGTCAGCATGGACGATAACCATCATCGTGCATCTTCTGCATCACCAACAGTCATGATGATAATCATGACTACGCACCCTCTGCATCTCCAATCGGCTCTAACGTCACCCTTGAAACGTATATAAAAAAGACAAGGACGACAACATCATGTCTACGCATCCTCTGCATCTCCAATCAGGTCACAACGATAATGATGTGATGATGATGAGCATGTCATCATCACCATGATGGTGGTCATCATCGGCATCATCATCATCGTCATCATCATCAGCATCATCATCATCATCGTCATCGTCATCATCGCCGTTGTCAGCATGGACGATAACCATCATCGTGCATCTTCTGCATCACCAACAGTCATGATGATAATCATGACTACGCACCCTCTGCATCTCCAATCGGCTCTAACGTCACCCTTGAAACGTATATAAAAAAGATAGAGACGACAACATCATGTCTACGCATCCTGTGCATCTCCAATCAGGTCACAACGATGATGATGTGATGATGATGATCGTCCTCGTCATCATCACCGTTATCATCATCGATGATAACTATCATCGTGCATCCTCTGCATCACCAGCAGTCATGATGATAATCATGTCTACGCACCCTCTGCATCTCCAATCGGGTCTAACGCTACCCTTGAAACCTATGTAAACAAGATAAGGACGACAACGATTATGATGTGATATACTGACAAGCGTGTCATCATCATCATCGTCATCATCATCAGCATCATCCTCGTCATCGTCATCGTCATCATCACATCACCGTTACCATCATCGATGATAACCCTCATCGTGCATCCTCTGCATCACCAACAGTCATGGTGATAATCATGTCTACGCATCCTCTGCATCTCCAATCAGGTCACAACGATGATGATGTGATGATGAGCATGTCATCATCACCCTGATGGTGGTCATTATCGTCATCATCATCGTCATCATCATGGATGATAACCATCATCGTGCATCCTCTGCATCACCAGCAGTCATGATGACAATCATGTCTACGCATCCTCTACATCTCCAATCAGGTCACAACGATGATGATGTGATGTCATCATCACCATGATTGTGGTCATCATCGTCATCATCACCATCGTCATCATCATCAGCATCATCATCATCCTCGTCATCGTCATCATGGACGATAACCATCATCGTGCATCTTCTGCATCACCAACAGTCATGATGATAATCATTGCGACGCACCCTCTGCTACGATGACGGTATTGCTTACGCTGATAATGTTGAATCTTCGGCTATGCTCATTTACCAACCAACCTTGGACTTGTGCCGTGACCACCCTTCCCGTGCGCCTCCCCCTTTGAGGAGAAGGGGTCGGCGGATTTTGCCTTCTCATGATAGCCTTTTGTACCTCTGCTGTGATACGTGACACTGCCAAAAACCCAACCATTCTTGGCTGACCCACACCCATAGCCATGATGGTGGATCAGATGATGGTTGAAGGTGCCATTTCAAAGAATCCTTCGTCGCAGGTACCATTGTCGTTTTTTTATCGCATCGAAGCTAGCTTGCGCATGCCAAGCTGTGAGTCAGAAGTGTGGTGCATTTTGCTACAGCGCTGCGACTGCAGCTTTCAACGAGTATTGCATAATGTCCGAGAGTGCTCGAGAATTGCTTGAGAATCGCTTCCAGTGCATTTGTTGAGCTCCCAAGTTGGTAGCTCCTGCCTAGCTCTCTCAGTGACATGCTTGCGCCGGCCTCACTACATGCGCTTTTCTCCAACTAGTCTGCTTCATTGATGAGCTTGTGACGCTGATGTGGAGCGGCTTGCAGGCGTACGAGTTCTTCCGGAGGAGCTGTTCATTTCACCATTGCCTTCAAGGCAGGAGACACAGCGTGCTAGTTTCTAACCCAATCGACCTGAAACATCCAGGGAGCTGCACCCCCAACGACGTTCTTTGGACAGGTCATGGGGGGTTTGGGCGTGGGAAGACGCAGTCGTTGGAGGGTGTGTAGCCGGATATGTTTGACCCAAGACCTGGCTGGCCTTAGAACCAAGACTTGCCGGCTATGACCAGATCCCCGATGTGTTGCTTCCAAACTTTCGTGTTGAGCCCCCTGCTGGTACCCATCGAAACACATGCAGTGGCAGTTGGCTCTTTTTCGATTGGGCAGAATTTGCTCTCAATCAGTAGAATGTTGATGCGAAATGTGGTTGTTGCCATTCGATGCTTGATCCACCGCAACAGATGATGCATGAGTCAGCGTGGCTGTCAATGCGAGTCAACCGTGCGCAATCGCTGTGAAGTCAAAACCATCCAAAAGTCCATCTACGTTTTTGCTGTTCTGCATGCCCTGGTTCTGAAAACACAGAAACCAGTAGTCCGGTAGTCTGGTAGACAGGTAGACAGGTAGACTGAGCTGAAGCTGCTTCATCCTACATGTTGAAGCAGATTCAGCCGCCGATCCCTTTTACCAATCATCCCTCACTCTTGTCACTTGAACCATTTGCATTTGCGGCCTGAGGCAGCCACGCGCGCGTGAGCGCCTGCAGGGCGAGCGGGTGTTACGGGTCCAGGAGCTGCAAAACAGGCAGCGCATGGAGTCGAAAGAAGGAAGTTCCATAGGAAATGAACTCAAATGAACCAACAGTCCGCAGCAAAAAGACTGGTTTGGGCGAATTGAAATCAATCAAGCAGCACGAACCAACTTGCTGTCAGAGCAGAGTAGGGAGTCGTGATCAGGGTTGAGAAAGGATCCTGGAAATCCCCTTGGCATGCTCTCACGTCCTACTGAGAAGCAACAAGCGAATATCCACCGAGAACCAGGGTTTGGGGCATTTTGCAAAAACAAGCATCCACCAAGCACAATTTCTGTAGATTGTCCGATAGCTAGTTTCTTAGTGGGCTGGGTCCAGTCATGTTTGGTCACAGAGAGTGAGGTTCTTTGTCAGCGGAGAACAGTCCTGCCTGGTTCAGACATGTATTGGGTGCTATGTGCAAATGCATGGACAAGTACGTGGACATATTTGCTGAATTATGGAGTGCTTTAGCTAGCATGGTGATCCACTCCTTTTTGACATGCTTTTGCCTGAACTTGAATTAGAGTCAGAGCACCTCCAACCCATCTTCAAGCCGAGGGCTAGTCAGGCTGAAGGCTTGCAAGCCGAAGTGCAGTAGTCGTGCTTGAGTGCCGAAGGTCTTGGCCAGCATCTGGCCAAAACCGGCATTCATTTTGAATGAGGTTTGGTCAAAACATCCGGTGTGCGGAACGTCTGTGAGGAACATGGGCTGACGAGCTCTATATATCCCACGACAACTCTGGGACCGACGACTTCCCCCATGTCCATATCACAGTAACCTTGTATTTTTGAACCTGTGGGTTGAAGCTAGTGGCGAAGTGGTGTTGTCAAGGCCGATTCTGCCTCGAGCCTCGCTGTGAAAACACAGGGTTACTCCATGTCCAGGGTTGCTTGAACGATACATTTTGGACATGCTGTTGAGCATGATGACTACCAGAGTTTGGTAGTTTTTCCTTTGGGAAACCCATGCCTGCAAAGAACAAGCTGTCCCTCTGCCGCGTGTGAGGGGGCTGCTGCCGGCTCTGGCCCGCTTTGCACCCATGGCGGCAATTGACTTGGGAGGGGATGTCCCGACAGCAATGGAACACTCATATTGAAGGTACCCTTTTCGTGTTGTTTTGTGGAGGATTAAATTCACGTCAATCATCTTGGAGGGTCCGCTATCTTGAGACACGTTCATATTGGCTATCGCTTTTTTTAGCGGGAACACCCTCAAACATGATTAATGGACGTGAATTCAACCATGTAAATCATGTTGTCCAAAGGGTCCCAATAAAGATTGATACCCAATACCCAAATTTGGGATGAGAGCGTGCAGCCACAACTACATGGTATGCCATTGAGGCACGCGGCACAATTGGCGTGATACATGGAAAGGTGAGAGAGGAACTATAGAAGCCTTGTACTTTAAGCTGTAATATTCTCGTCATTCGACCAAGGCGGTGGTGCTTCTTCCTATTTTGGTTCATAGACCGTGGGCTGTTCTGGACATTGGTTTGGTTGGTCCCCCTTTGAACGACGCTGGGCGAGGTCTCCCTGGATCCAAGGCCCTCACTCAGGCCCCCTGAGCCGAATGAGACAGCCTGGCCACGAGGCCTTCCGGCGCCAAGTGCTCAATGGCCTGCAAGATTGGTTGAGGCGGGCGGATGCCAGGCGACCGTTCGTCGACAGGAAGTTCGGTCAAACCTTGCGGTAGCCTGCCGTCCATTTGGGAGGGACATGGGAAGACTCACTAAATACCCCACCATGACCAGGGACCTCTCCAATTTTCCCATGTCGTTTCGGGGAAACAAGTAATTAGTTTTTATTGTGGCTCGCATGGGCGTGTGTTTGTGCCGGTACCCTTTCAGGTTGTGTCAGAATGATAGGAGAGTCATAGCAAGCATGATCCACATCGTATCTGAAGACGGCAGAAGGACGTGCGTGCACGGAAGCCAAAAGGAAGACTACTTCAGAGACGTTGTTGTCAGGACACATCACAAGTAGTGAATCAGTAAACTTGGACATTGGGAGCTGCAACTCAGGTTCAACAAAATTGGCGAGCACACACACAAACACACATACAGACAACACTCAGATGGGAAGGCTGGAGTCTGAAGAGCAGTTTTAGTTTTGAAAGTTGGAAGCCTGACTTTGAAATGGGAAGCGCAGCACGGAGAAGTTCTAGGTCTCTTGGAATTGGTGTTAGTTGTGTCGTTGAGGCGCCTGCGATTGTGGTACTCGCAGCGACTACACACACTGAAGTGTTTCCCGATTTGGAAGCACTGTGGCAGATTGGTTCAAAAGTGGTTTGCAGTTTGCAGCTTTCTCGGCCAGCGAACATGTCCAGCAAAAGGCTCAGGGAAGACCCTGGGGCGATGGCTCGCGATGCAAAGATGCAGAGGACAGCTAGCAACTGGGTTCCCGTGCTGGCCGGGCAGCTCAGAGCTTCAGGAGCTCCTGGAGCTTCCTTGTTCGCAAAGATGGTTCGTGAAACTGACACCACCCACATTATCACATTATTGAACGACTCGGAGCTGGAAACGCGACGTCTTGGCGACTGGTGTCATCAACATGGCGTTGGCTGGACACACATCCCTTTGTCTGGAGCGAATCTTGCCTGCGAGAATGACCATGTTCAGTTGCGACGATTGGTAGAGATTCGTTTGCTGTTAGAGGCTGGAAGTCGAGTCTTGATACATTGCTCAGCTGGTATGCATCGAACAGGCATCGCCATGTACATAGTCTTGCGACACTGCGGCTTGAGTCCATCACAAGCCCTGACTGCGGTGCATGAAAGTCGACTGGTCACATACGAGGAACTCATTGCGCCGCGCAAGAAGTTGGAAGGCCGCCGCCTTGCGGATTTGGCAGAGGACAACTTCCGTGTTGCAGACTTGCCCGAGAACAAAGCTGTGCTGATGCCAAAGATGGAGACGTGCTGCCTTTGCTTGAGCACCTTGCTTAATCACCTGATGAAGAGTTCCCAACGCTGATCAACCAGAGGTTTTGTAGCTCGCTTCATATTCAAAGATCGACATGCTCAGTCTTGGCTTGCGGACCGAACCATCGCCCTGACTCTTGCAAACCTGCTTTGAGATGAAACTATGGCAGCAAGATGGAGCCTGATCTTGTTGTGCCTTGCGGCACTATGTCTCAGCCATGGGCGGCGTGAAATCGGCTAACCGCGGCTGCCAGATGCCCGAAGGCAAGCTCCCAGATATCCAAGCAGGGCGTAGAGCGAGCTCACCAGAGGCTGCGGCCAAATAGATGAAGTGGAAACAAATAAGTAAAACATAAATATATGTATATATATATATATATATTATGGCCGCTACGCCAGATTGAGTGCGCTGTTTGCAGAACTCCACAGACAGTTCGATCACATGAGGTGTTTGTTTGTTCTTGGCCGGTTGCACCGCATATACACAGAGGTTCGGAAGGAATTATTGCGCGCTTTATTGTCCCATGATCATGAGCAATTCGGTTTAACAGCCCCACGCCCATATTCTACTTAGGCCCTGAAAGTTCCTAGCCGTTTGGACTACCATGTGTGGCACCCGATAAGTCCAAGCCATGCCCCATTTCTGGGCAAGTTACGGCTACCTCACCGATAACAAGGGTAACAAATCGCTCAGACAGACATGTTTCTGCATATTTATGGAGAGCTCACTTGGGGTTAAAACCAGCTCTCATGGTAAAGATCCTTTATTTGGGGATCCCTTGTTTAAGGTTTTGGAAGTGTTGTACAATTTGCAGCATGTTTTGGTGGTCCCCTGCCATTGTGACAAATACCCCACTTCCGCGAGGCAGTGACTCACGAGAGCTGAGGTCTCGCCCAGATCAAAGCGACGCCCCTGTAGCCAGGCGCCCAGACACAGGTACCAGAGAGCTTCCGGATATCCCTGGTCGGGCTTTTTGCCGTTTTTGGTTGGTTGTTTGGTTGTTAGGTTGCTTGGTGGGATTTGTTTTGCTTGTTCTCTGGTTTGTACGTAAGATCGTTTTGGGCCGTTTTTGTTTGCTTGTCTGCCCTTGCATGTCAGGTTGGGCCAACCCTCAACAAATTCGACGGTCAAATTTGGTCACTGAGTTTTCGAGAAAAGTTGGGGGACTCACTCATTTGCGGTATACGCCAAGTCTGACCGCGCTATGAGGATGTCTTGGATGTGGGTATGGGCTTCACTCGGGAAGTGCTGATCTCCTTCCACGCGGCCAATGAGGGTCACTCGCCACAAATCACCTCGCTTGAATCGAATGGACCCGAAAACGCATTGCACGCATTGCACGCGTGTTTGTCTTGACTTAAATTGCTTGAAACGCCCCGATTCTCATTATTTAGGCCCCGAGTCAGGGCACGCTTTATGGAGTCAAACTGTGGGCAGTCCAACAGCCCCGCTCATTCAACTACGGACCAAACGGTTTCGGAGTAAAACACCTTCATCAATTTGTCGGTGCATGCTGATGACTTTGTGACCCGTCTTGCGGCTTAGGTGAAAGATGTGTTCCTTCCCCTGCCGCCTTGGTAACAGCTTCTCTTGGTCTATTTCCCCGGAGGCAGGATGTGGGAAAGGCGGGTGCTTCCTCCATCCACAATTCTTTCTGCTTGCTCGACCTTGGATTTGGGCAGCTTTCCCCCCTGTCAACCTTCGCATCAATCAGAAGCTGATGGGATATTTGTTCGCTGTAGGAAGGTCGGAGTATTACTTCTTGAGGACTGAGACGAGCTGGTTCACAGATTCGTGCTTGACTAACATGGACCCATGGGTTGCTCCGAACTTCAAAAGAATGGTATGGGGTCCTTTTGTTTGCGTGTGACGATCAGGCAATTGTCAGCACTGACCAGGGATTCAACTTGAAGCAGCCTGCATAGTTGGAAACTGGATGCAGCTGCGGCAATCGCAGCGGCAACAGCATTGCCGTGTTTGGAACGCAAAGGAATGGACACAATTTTGGGTGCTTCCACCAATAGGCCCCCCTGTAGATAGTGGGTATGTTTTTGAGTTCCTTGCAAAAGGCCATCCAACCAGAAGCCTCATGTTTGTTTGCGGCCGTTGATTGATGCCTCGATCAAATTCATCTCATCAAAATCCGGTGGGCTCGGTATGCAGCAATGCAGATCCCCATCCTCTTGTTAATGTATAGGCAGGGGCTCGGTCCACGTCCATTGTCGATTGTGGCCCGTATTGTAATTACAATTCCCATTGCTGGCCATTGCGGGTATAGGACATTCATGCATTGCCGCATAGGGGGCCCTCATGACTTCCATGTCATGTGCCTGCAGGCCTCTTCTGTGGGCATTAGGCCTCCAAGCAGATGCCTTGCTCTACCGAGAGGGCGTGTGGCTTGGAGAAAGTTGGCAAGGCTTTGTTTGTATGGTGCTTGCCTGCTTGGGGTAGCAGGTATAGCAGGTATTTAACCTGGAGTTTCATATTGCACGTATCGTATCATTTTTACAGGCTGCATTCCAGCGGCATTGCTTTGTTTTCACGGGGCCGTAGAAGCACCAACAGGAGTCGTTGTCACTGAGGCTGCTGCTGCAGGAACGAATTCAGCTGCCATCCGTCCAGCGGCCGGGCATGCCGTGCAAAGCATTGCAAAATGTGCGCGCAGCTATATTATTCGCGTCGTTTAGAACCGCTGGGACTTGACGGGGCTAAGGGCCAATCTTGAAGGATTTTCCCAATTCTGATCAATCTGGCTTGGCCAACCCTCCGCTTTGAGCAGGCATTGTGTGACTTCGCATCCAGGACTTCATCAGAAACAATCGCGGCATCAACGAAGGGGAGGACATCCCTCAGGACGCCGAGAGCTCTGGCAGTCAACCAGTTAATCAGTCACGTCTCAGAAGTTGAGACCTAGTTTCGTGCTGCTGATTTGTCGCGTTTTGCGCTGGCAGACCAGGTTGGTCAATCCGGGGTCGGGCAGAGCGGTGTTTAGTGTGCCAAGTCAGGATATTGAAGCTTCTGAAGCTGGAAGTTGGGAGTTGCACTGACCCGAGGCCGTATTGGTCCATGGGATGCTGAGGTCCAGAAGCAAGTCTTCGAGAGCATCCGTCAGGACGAGATCAAGACTCCCAGCCCTTTGATTTGCAAATAGATTGTAATTCTTCAGGACCCTTTTCAGGTTTTAACGAGAAACGAAAAGGTAAAGTACCATTTCGGGGGTCCCCCTATTTGCTACATTTGCTACCCATATGGGATGGGCCGATGGGCGTGTTTGTTTCAGCCACAGGGTCTCAATCTTTGGCCTGGGGCTCCAGGGAGGTTCTCTGGGAGAGGTTCCGGGGTTCGGCTTGGACTCCTTGCACGCGGGCGTGGTAGCCTTCTTGAGGTACAGGCAAGCTACGGCAAGCGCCAATTTGCGGGGATTCCTCTCTTTGTGTTACCTTGAGACGGACCGTCAGGATGTGTAGATTTGAACCTTGCACAGGAAGAGATTGATTGTGTCCTATGCATGTATGCTTGGTGTTGAATGAATATGTCAGTCACGTTGTATGTCGTTGGTGCACATATTAGGCGTTCCCACGGCTTGCTGAAGGATGGGGGCCGAGTTTAGTTTGCACGTATTCGCCACTTATTTGATGACTGGCATCAAGTTGTAGATAGATAAGCAGTAGACATGGTTTTACGTGTTTTTAATTTAGACGCGCGATTCTGCTGCGGGCTCGCTTCAGCTCGTTTGGTGACTCGACAGTTAACGATGGACATTAGGCTGGAACGTGTTTGGCGTTCTGAGCAAACTCAAGCTCGGCCACAGAATGCTTTGGACATTGCCTTCAGGGGGCTTTGTGTTGCCAGCTTTTGACGACATGTGTCCTTTGTAACATTGTACTACGGGGACCGAAGCACGGGCAACGGGAGTTGAGTATGCGCGCGAGGATGAGCCAGTAGCTAGTATACATGCACACTGATCACGTAGTTTCCAAGCACCCTCTTTGTCTTAGACAGCAGGCACTTTCCCCTTTCAGGTGTTTTTTGAAGTGCATGGGGGCTGCAACACGTCCCAACCAGCCCTGAATTTCCTGAACAAATGCTTTGGCCCGTTTGACGGAGGACAACTTGGTTGATCCTTTCCTTTCTGAGAGCGATGCTGTGAATTCGAGTCGATTGCTGCTTTCAATGCGTTTCCCTGACCTGGAGCCGCTTTTGCTTCACATCGCTTGAGGCTCCGGCAGCTTCATTGAGGGCATCTCCCGGACGCGCTTGGAGGACTCGGCCGCGAAAAGACGATGGCTTTTGATTCCAAAGCGATGCGTTTTGCCGTGTGTCAGACTGTCAGGAGCGTTGACAGCTGATATGTTCCACTTGGTTTGTTGCCAGGACCAGGATCCATCATGAAACTTGTCCCGTGGCACTTGCACCCATTGAGTGTTGCTCCAAAGTTTACTCGAGCAAAGCTGCAGGTTGCGCACAGGTTGCACACAGGCCGTGCCGCACAAGCCAATTTTTCAGATGGGCTGATTTGTTTGAGTACGTGGGGCCGGTCCTGGACCCCTTAAGAAGTGGCACAACCAAGACAATTACGGTTTCCTATCAAGGAAACCATGACCGGGACCTACGTAAGGGCATTGGACCTTGGCACATTTAATTTGCCTCTTGCCATGGCAGGGCGGCCTGCAACATGCCTGCAGGATTTTATGAACCTCACACGGCAGGGCTGGCGCGACAATTCCTTGACAACGCAGTGGGGATACCTGGCTCTTGATTCACTCCAGTTTAGGAGGGAGACAGCGAGAGACACAAAGAGAGAGGGAGAGCCAGGGGGAGACAACTACGGGAGGATGCGATTCACAAAGAGGAGACACTCTGCAGCCTCGCATGAGGAAACTGGAACAAAAGGTGCAAACTGCAAACACTGCAAACAATCCTGCCCCCAACACTTCTTTGTTTTGTTGCAGCCGTGTCCTTGTCCCACGTTTAGATATCGCATGATATCACCAAGCTGGCTTTTATCGACTTGCCAGTTGATGATTGCTGCTTGAACCTTTTTTTTACAAGAATAGCATATCTCATATCCAACCAGACACAGGCTAAACCGCTCCAGTCCAACAACATCGGTGGACCAACAAGAACACATGTTCCAACCGGTTCACCAAGCGCGCTCCGCTCGCGGAACCCGAGGTGTGCCAGCCTCTCTGGCCAAGCCGGGGGATTTCTGAGACGCCTGGGCCTGTCCTTCCGCAACGCCCTGGCCCGGGCACCCGGCTGAACTCTCCGGGGCCGGGATGCTCCAGCAGGAACATGGAGCCCCGAAATGCCCCCTGCTGTTTGGAGTCTCCTGTTTGGAAACTCCTTTTTTGGGCAAAAGGGGAAGGCCTGAGTGGTTGGGGTGTGGTCCTTGCCCACAAGCAGTGCCATGTATCCGCACGTAGAAGCGCCAGATACTTTGCTAAGTTGCTGAAGACAATTCCGATGGGCCTCATCAGTTGTTGGCAAGGGTGTTCTTCAGTGCGCTACAATGTTTCTTGCAAAGGTCTGAAGATGTGAGAATACAATGTCAAAGATCATGCTGATGTCGCACCTTCTGCACAACGTTAACTGCCGAGGTGTTGTTGATCTTATTGTGCGCGGCTTTCCCAGCCACAAGACAACTCCTGATCAAGCAGGCTCAGCGCACTGCATGGTGCGCTGTAGAAACTCAAGTTTATGACAGCTCAGGCACTGGCAAGAAAGATGTAAGCCCAGGGTACAAAACTGGAACTAAGCGCTTGAAACGTTCAATTCGTTGCACTGACTTCCCTAGGGTTTCCACAGACATGCGCTTGGGATGTGTGGAATCAAGTCTACCGCTTTAACACGATCATGGGCCATTTCAAGAGGACTCAAGTCTTCCACAGCCTCCTGTCAGCTTCCATGCGTGTTGGAAAGAGGGCGATTTAATAAAATGAAGACCTGAGAGATGCCTGAGAACGCGATGCGCGTGAGACCTGATACTCCGCCGGTTGATTTGTTCTCGGGCACAGCGCCCGAGAAGGAAGCCCGGCTCGCGAGCTTAGGAATTTGCGCTGGCGGGCGAGGGGGGCGCCAGGCGCTCAGGTAGGACTCCTCGTGGCATAGGGCAGGAACCATGCATCCGCATGAGCGGCTGCCTTTACTTGCAGAAGACGACAGTAAAGGCAGAGGCGGAAACCTTTGTTGTGCAACATACTACTGAACTAAGTGAACCATTAGGCAGGAACACCCCCCCCGAAACAAAGTAGGGCCATGATGTACATGTGGTTGATATCGCAGACAGGTGCGAGGGGCTGGAGAGGGAACACCTGACCATTCAACCATGTAGTAAATAACTGCCGTAGCTTACATGAGCAACTGGCAAACCATGGAATGCTACTGTTGGTTTTGGGTGGACATGGCTCCCGCAAGTGTTCAACTGTTTCGATGTTCACTTGAGGAAAATGTTGTGCATGGCTCACATGGAAGAAGGCCATGCAGCTGCCAAATGCCAGGCAGCAATGGGCGACGCCGACCACCCCTGTCCCAGGAACAGGCACAACTTGTACTTTAGTTTATGGTAGTCGGCAGACCGTTTTATAGGATGCCAGCTACTGGCTGGTTGCCATTTCAGCTTCCACTGGATGACTTGGTTACAGCATGAGTCAAGTGAATTGCCTGTTGCCTTTGGAAACGGTCCTCAAGTAAGAATGAAGGCGAGACCCCTCCAACAAAATGGCTGCCTGTTGATGTCTAATTAAATGAGGGTGTTTGTTTTTGAGTGCACGTGTGGGTGACCGGTTGGTTTGAAGGGAAATAATGGGAAGCCTAAAGGAACACCAACGCCATCTTTTGGGCGTCCCCTATTTTGCACACACCACATGTTTCACGACCCATGTCTCCAAGGAACCCTTTGAGTCTATCCGCAGGGCTCCCCACTGCAAAGAGGATCGTAGGGGATGTCCGAGGACGCTCCCCTGCTGGCCATGGAGCAGCTGTTGTGCCTGGCGCTGCAGCTGCAACAGCCCGAGGCGCGCTTTGGAGAGTACATGGAGATGGAGCGCGGAGTGCCCTAGTTCCCCCAAGAGTGTTGCTTGAACTTGCACTGTTCTGTTTGAGTCGTGTTTTCGATGTCGCTTTGCGCTGAGTCGGGACAGTGTAGCCGGGAGAAGGTGATCCTCTTGGTTGACATGCCATTGAACTCTCTTCGCACGCGCAGCTGTCGAGATCGCAACTCACGCAGCGGCACTGGCCACGGTTTTCCTTGGTTTCCCTGTGCCAAAGTTGCCACATTTCTACTGCCGATCGATTCAGTCGATTGGGAGCAGCCAAATTGCACAAGGCCCCTAAACGGGAACGCGACGTGCGAAGTCAAGCCCTCGGATTGCGGGCAGGCCGACAGCGCAGCCGAGAGCCTCTTCTTTTTCGGCACTGAGGTGGGTCAGAGATCCGGTCAACCGTGATTCATCAACCTGACAGTTGGATTGAAAGTGAAAGATACCCTCTAAAATGGGATACCCGGCCTCAATCAACCTACGTTCATACATCCTGTGTTAGTATCACCTAGAAAGCTAGTGCTTGCTGCTGGCTGCGCTAAAAGAGAGCCAGCACCATCCTCAGAGCTACTCAATATAGACATCGAACAATGTTTTAAGCTGGATTGAAGCCATTAATGGCCTCGTCAATTGCTGTCAGTCAGCCGATTTGTGATGTGCTCAATTGTGAGCTATCCGCATACACCTGGGTTTCATGGCAGATTTGTTGACTTGTTGTAAGCATCTTTCTGTTTCCGACATTCGTTGTTCTATTGCTGGCTTGACTTGTTTTGTCCACAGCTCGCTTGCAAGGGAATGAGGATGCATGGATCCACGGCCTCCCCAAAAAAGGGCATCCAGAGCTGTCTTCTCAATCATCACTTCTAAGTATCAGACTGGAAGGTATGACGTGTTCACGCTTTTGTAAATGCCAGTGTCCTCATCTGGCTCTGAACTGTGGCTCTTCAATGGTGATGCCTTACCAAGTATGCACGTGACCACATGTACATGTAGGTGTATGACTATGAGGAACCGTCAACATTCCCGCTTTTGTGTGTAGTGTTTGGTGTTTGATTGCTACTGACATGACATGTCAGTAGCAATCAAATATGCACAACATGGATACACTTGTTCATGGACGTCACACCATAGTATCCATTTGCGCACACGCGGGCCGCAGGTGTTCCATGAAGCTCAGAGCGACTTCGCGCTGGCACGGAGCTCGGTAGCCGAAGCAAGTATGTTGCTCCCATCGGGCATTTGGCCAAAGCTGAAGCATTGCTGGACCAATTTGGAGACTTCGACCTTTCGGCTTTGCTCGCAACGTAGGGTAAGGCTGGGGTTTGATGTGGCCGACACGGCAAACCTTTCTTCTTGGTTGTTCCCTCCCTCCTGGCCGCCCGAATTTCCTCCCAAATGTTCACTCGCCAGTTCAAACTAGAGGTCGACAAGAGCAATTTCGCCTCGCCCAACTGGCTTTTCTACACGCTTTCCACAGACGGATGCTTAGTGGCTCCCCTTTGCCGATCGGTTTGTTTGCATCGCTGATCCGCTAGGATCAAGAACATGTCGAACATATTCCCCATTCTTTCTGCCAATGCTGTCACTTGGGAGAAGGGATGGCCGATTTTTGTTGGTGTCCTTGTCCCTCCAAGAGTTCCTAGTTGGATACATACCCTCCCTCAGGCTAACATGGAAGCTCTCCACGTACCCACAAGATTGGCTTGCTTGGCTGATATTCCCACAAGGGCAACCGATTTGGCACTCCAAGTCGTACTCGTTATCCCGAGGCTCGCGGTGCCAGCTGCCTGCGCGCACTGTTCCGCACGGCGCGGGCAGTAGTTTGGGTTGCAACCAGGGCTGGGGAAGAGGTGTTTTTGCTGCGCCAATCTGTGTTTCTGGTTGCAACATATGTTTGCTTAGTCCATAGTGGAAGACTGGGGGGACTTTACTTGTACTTGTTTTGTCCACAAAAGCGGCCCTGTCCTTCACGGGTAATCGCATATTTTACAAGTGTTGCGTGTGAGTTTTGTTTGGGCTGAACGCTCTTGGAGGTTCAGAGCTTGCCACTGAATTTAGCGGAAGTGACACATTGCGCCCAGAGGTGGGCAGTGGGAGTGCGCCCGATCTAGCACGGCCGACGAGTCTTGTGCGAGTCTTGTGTGGTGTTAATGCTGCCAGTGACATGGAATCCTTTTTTGGCGGGAGTCTGAAGAGCATGAACCTGAGATTCAGGGGAGTTGATGTCAGCATATTAAAACCTCAAATGTGTTTGCAGGATGGATGTGCACTTGGGGGCAAGGGCAACTGAGCGTGTTGTTTGCTTCCGTGCCTTCCGCGCTTGGGGGCCAACATAACTTTCGGTAAAAAGGACCATCAACCAAGCTGTAAAGAGCCTTTCCACCTTCCACCCTTCATTTGTCATGTTTTGTTCGACCGACTGGTGTGCACGGTATGTAATTTTCGGGAACCGGAGAGCCAGGTTGTTGCTGAGTGGCTTCGTGTGTCTGTGTGTGTGTGTGTTTGTCCGTTGTTCCCCTGAAATCTTAAGATTCTGCGTTCCAACACTAGGAGAGCTGAAAGAGTTGAATTGGGTGTTCCATGGATCTTGCAAACTAGATACAACTCAGAAATCCAGGCATTCTGGCATCCAAATTCAGCTTATTGGCTTTCTGCAGCAAACAGCCTCCAAGCCAAAGTCACGGAAATCTGGTGACCGTGGGAGTCGACGGTTGACCTCATCTTGGAATTCTGCTTATATACTCGGTCTATGTGTTTGGGACGTACCTCAGCTTATCAGCAAGCATGCCTTCAGGCGCGCATGCATCTGGCTGCCATGTCAGATCCTTGGCCGGGCGAACGAGGCATCGTGAGTTTCTTGGAGGGTGCTTCAAGTTGATACCGAGGTGCTTCCTGCCATAGCTTGTAAAATGGAAGTTTGACTCGGCCGGATACCGCGGTGTTCAGTCCAGCAAGAAGCCTCCAAGTAAAGCCCTCGATCTTACTCACCAAGTGACAACCGTATATGGACGAGTCTAAATGAGGGAGTTTCCGTGTTTTCGCTTCATCCAGTATGGCTTCTTGCGAGATTGACGGAATATTTAGCAGTTGTAACGTCAGACTGTTGGCAAAGATGAAAGCATTCTTCCGCCGTTGCTGAGACATGTTCGGTGGGGAGACTTACTGTCATAGTTACCCTGAGCTGGCCAACGTGGGTGCTCAGTTCTTTTATGCTTGGCCTGCT